CATGAGATCATATTATACATGAGGTCATATTATGCATGAGATCATATTATACATGAGGTCGTATTATACATGAGATCATATTATACTTGAGATCATATTATACATGAGGTCATTTTATGCATGAGATCGTATTATACATGAGGTCGTATTATACATGAGATCGTATTATACGAGATCGTATTATACATGAGGTCGTATTATACATGAGATCGTATTACACATGAGATCGTATTTTACCTGAGATCGTATTATTATACCTGAATAAATACAGTATTTGTTGTCATAACGAAGTTTTTATGAACCAGATGTTTTCTGTCCCCCTGAACACTTGATGCCCTATGCGCAGTGTGTGCTCTGTGTGTGCAGCGCACCGTGCCTGGCTGCAAGAATAAACTTATTATTTTATTTTCCATTTGTATGTAAGTAAAGCAGTCACTCACACAGTACTGTCCAACCATCATCATGTTCCAGTGTTGAATGGTGTTGACTGGTTTCAGCTTTTATTGCCAACACTGAGCCTGGTCTGCTTTTCTCACAGATGGAACAGTTAGATTAGTTTTGACGTTCTTTGGCCCGAGTTCTGACTTCCAAGGTGGGAGARGGAACAAAACGAGGTGATTTCCTATCTCCTGAGGATTATTCTGTTTCCCAACCTTTCAGAGCGTGTAGTGGAAGAAGAKGAGCGAATGCTGGAGGTGCTGCAGCGATGGGGGCAGCAGAGGGGGGAGGTGCGTTACATTCTGCACCACTTCAGAGCTCCTGGGCGGGACTCAGGTAGGAAACTGATGGCAGCAAATCCTTCAGTACATTCAGACATCAGCAGATGATTTCCTTCYAACAATGAAGTTCAAAGTCTTTTTGTTTAGACTGCAAGCACTCTTCTGTATGTCGTGGACTTAAAACAATGGGACAGACTTTTACTGAAGCAACAAAGACAAATGTTTCAAATGAAAACAGTGATTTACAGGACAAGCATTTTTGGAAGTACGGAAGAGGATTAGGGCCACTGAAAAAATAAAAGAAGGAATTCTGACTTTAATCTCAGAATTCTGACTTTAATCTCAGAATTCTGACTTTATTCTCAGAATTCTGACTTTAATCTCAGAATTCTGACTTTAATCTCAGAATTCTGACTTTATTCTCAGAATTCTGACTTTTTTCCTAGGTTCCTGTTACCATTGCTTACTTTTCTAAGGTTTACCTATGCTGATAGAGTTCAGTACTTGCCGATTGATTCTTGAAAACATTAACTAAAAAAACATTCATAACCCAACCTCTGCAGTTCACAAACATCACAAAGATCAGCACTGTTTCTGATTGTGTTTTTGTTTCCAGATGGGTTCAGAGCTGCAGATCAGAAGATGAAAAGGAAGCAAGCAAAGACCACTGTGGAGAGATCTCTAGAAGATGGGGTGAGACATTTTGAGAAGATGGATCAGACCTGATTGGACGCAGATGCAAGAGGAAATCACTCCTCTAAAAGAAAACAAAACAAAACAAAGAAAGCTTAAAATGAAAAGGTGAGCTGTGACTGTGAATGTTGTGCAGGTCTCAGCTCCGTGTCTGGACGTGACTCTGAGCGAGCTGCAGGATCTGGCCTCCCGACAGCATCAGCAGATCAGTGCCCAGCAGCACCTGCTGGCCTCCAAGGTACACCCAGRCTCTAATGACACAGAACTCACAACTCACTGCCGTTCTTTAAAGGTAACGGTTTGTCATCAGTGCATGTTGTCATGATGCAACTTGTGCAACGCAATCTACATTTGACCAATCACAGCGAGCATCTACTGTATGTGAAGCAAACAAAAGAAAGAACACATTTTAGTTTTGTAGCACTGGCTACTAGGGCTGGGTATCGATTCAGATTTCCCAAATCGATTTGATTCACAGGGGCTCGATTCAATTCACGATTCAGTTTGATTGGTTTTTAAATTAGTTAAGGATAACAAGCAGTAATACATTTACTTTGATATGTAAGACATTCTCAAAGGAACTAATTCTGCAAATAGAAACTAATTCTAACTTGGTTTGTTGGTAAAATTATAAACATTAAGGGCAAACATGTAAATTGGAGTTTAATCTTGAAACAAAACTGTCAAATTTCAAAGGGTTTAAACTAAAAAGGAATTGACAGAAAGTGTTGTTGATACATTAGTTTTTTAAGAAACTAATAATTTTCTTGATCACTAAAAAGTGATGGAATAAGGTTACAGAAGAAGAGGTGGGATAATTTAAGRGTTTACTTCTGCCCACTCATCCCAGGTGTATGAAAACTGTATATTTGTAATGTTTCTGTTAGTTTCTGTTCAGTAAAACTTCGTAACAAGAAGAAAGAAAGAATAAGTACTAAACATTCCATCACTAGCTGTGTTTCCATTGCAAATGTTCGCAAAACTTTGTCGATATTCTGTTGATGTTGAAAACACAGTTTCACAACTGCAGTGTTTCCGTT